ATGTATTTAATTTCAATAATTATTGAATGACAGTAAAAAAAAATACATTTAGTAACAAAGTCCTTGATGTTTTACAATAACTGATCTACTTTACAACAATTATGAAACAATTTCTACAAACTTCCATTAATCACTCTTGTTGGCACAGATGTTCATGTGCAAAGTAGCATGCAAATATTTGACTAAATACTCATATTCAAACTTCTTCAAGGTACATACATACTTGTATGTTGAAAGCAAACATATTTTTGAGGTTTCATTGAAATTCTATTTTTAGTAACAGTGACCTTAAATCAGAGAGCACTCTCATACTTGTGCAATTTGTAATTTGTACAAGGTATGTAAAAGACAAAAATACCTGTGACATTTCACCAAAACCTGTTAAGAAATACCGCCATACTTTGACATACATTTGACAAGACTTTATCAATGTTAAAGGATCATACAGACCACTAGTGTGATGACATTTCTTTCTAGTACGTAACGCCGATAAAACATTATAATATATATATATATATGTAGTGGGACTGGACTGGGTCAATCGTCAGTTACCAGCAGGTACACTGTAGCTCAATTGGTACAGTGTCCGTCTAGAGTTCGGAGGGTTTCTCCTGTTACAAAATTGGCAAGCTTAATTGCCAACCCTTGTTTCTAGTACTGGGTCAATGATGGACAAGGGGATAGTCCAACCTGGGTTCTTAATATTAATGTCTTCAGCAGTGAAGACTTGGAAAAAGGAGGGAGGAATGTTGTGGAACTGGACTGGGTCAATGAACGGCAACCAGGTAGCTCAATTGGTAGAGTGTCCGTCTAGATTTTGGATGGTCCCGGGTTCAAATCCCGGTCTGGCCGTTGCATTTCTCTTTCTTAAGTTACATACATAAATGTAAACAAACAGTAGATTGTTATCTACTCTGTACATGTTTCTGTTCATTTTGTCCAATTAACAATCAATATCATGATTTTTCGAGAACTAACATGCTATAACAGGAATTTTTCATGAATTATCCGGTATATATATGATTATTTTTTTGGGTTTATTAATGTCTTCGCAACAACCAGGGTCATATGAGGATGGTGTAGCTTATAGGAAAGGCCTCAAGGGAAAATAGTTTTTGTACTTTATTCATATTGCCAATTTCCACATTTTATTTTCACGTACATGTATTTGACGATGAGCAAATTCACAATTCCAAATACTTCGCCCTTACTTCGGAGATATAGCATATATTTCTCTATGCAAAATATGGAAATCCACACTCAATGTATTAAATGTAGGTTAGGGAACTCTTTGAGTTACATTCTGTAAATATAATACTATAATTTACTATTATTCGTAATTTAAAATGTATGCATAATTTTTAAGTTTGAAGTCATTGGGGTGTGTACGATTGTTATGGTCCAATACAGTATGCCAAAACCATCATTTCTATATATTCCATTATATATATCACAACAGGTGGATGATACCTTATCTGGTGTTAATATATACCCTTACATTAATTTACCTTTTTCAATATAAATTCTTAGAATTTTATATGAGCATTGGACCAGAAAAACATTACGTATCATTATGAAAAAATATTGCCATGACTTGGCAAGAAAAAAAGAAAAAAATGTCTGGCAGATGTGATGTTTCTGAGCCTGTTTTATGGAGCCGGAACAAAGCCACCTCTAGAATTTATATTTTTTCATCTTTATATAGCTACTAGATCTGGACTGTCTAAAGTAACTACAGCACATAGAATAGTGTAACAGGGATTATATTAAATTTTGAACTTGATTTATTTCAGTTATTGTATACCAGAGCATGCCTTAAAGGGGCATCACGGTGAAGTAACTTTATTTTTTGTCTTTTTTTCAAATACTACATAAACATATCAAGTGAGACTCCTTATGGAAAATTACGATCGGATTTGGCTGAAATAGATTCATAAAAATGATAAAATCTAAGAAAATCATCGGTATTTCTACCTGTCTGACCAAAATTTTGTTCAGGGATTTCCCTCTACTAGCGCATGCGCATATCACACCATTTCTTTGTAAACAAAACAAAATGACTGGCCGTGTGAAGTAAGCGAAAAAAAAGTGTTGTACCGTGTCAGCTACGAAACTAAAAGTTGCCAAATGGTCAAAAGATAGCGCAAGGAGTACGTTACGGAATCATTATTGCAGGTGGGCGGTATTCAAAAGAGAAAATAACTGCCCTAGCAGTTAGTACGGTGCATGTATTCTCCCGGATAACCGGTTAAGCTGAAATTGAATCGACAGAAATGCTAGCGCTGTTTATGTTATGAATAAATATCTAAAACTATTAAGCTCGCTAGTATCTTTGTCTGAGTTTGAACACAGATGAACTTAGTTTAATATGTTAATGGGCATGTATTGGAGAGAGTTTATTTGTGTTTCTATAATTATACAGTGGTTTATGCGAAAGGAAGGGATAAGTGACCATATATATATATGTACATCTGTACCGGCCACATTCCGGTACTAAATTCAATATATATTTAAATTATCATTGTTGACATTTAATTGTAAATGTACATGTATGACGGGAGAAGGCTGTGATAAATTGTAAAAACTTGTGCCCCATCCCTTGTTTAATTTTATTGGCAACAAATTTATGTTTAAAGCTAAATAAATTTAAATTCTGAATATTGGCAAGTGTGCAATTAACTTCTAATGATGAATAATTACTGTTCAATAAGTTTGAATACGGACTTAGAAATCATATAACTTGGTTTCATAGTGCGGTAAGAAGTTGCAGTTGCCTAACGGCCCCTCTNGTTATCGACGCTATTTTTAGCAGGGCTTTCCCGAACAATTCAAGTGGTCAAACTGGACATTTGGAACGGACTATGAATATGGGGATAGCGAGGTTACATAAGTGGAAGTGCATACAATACATACATTCTTTAAAAAAAAAAACGCCTTTTCACGTGATGTCCCTTTAACTTGTTCCTACACGTTTGACGTAATATAAAAACTACTGTAAAAGCATAATATTTAGTTGGGGATTTAATGTCGTTTATTTCGTGGTTTTAAATAAACTAAAATAAAATATTCAAAAAAATAAAATAATTTTATTCCAAATCCATGGTGTTATTTTTATTTAGACACAAGTCATGATTATCTGTGTAATCATCGTCACAGGCACAGAGGTAAACATTGACAATTCGTGCAACAAGCCCCGACATAAAATCTACATCTATGCTTTGGGCATTGTGCTAATGGTGTTGGGCACCCCTGATTTATGGGTCCTGATAAAACATCCATGATACAGCGCTAGCAATAAACACCCAATAAATAGGCTCGGAAGGATGAGTTAAGTTTGACATGATGCGATGCACCAATTTTACATCCGTGTTTACCTGGTAAACAGATGCATAATAAAAATTTAATGTTGTTTACAATATACCTCCGTAAAATGATGTGCAACTCAGCTTACTTAATGACTAGAATGTTGAGTACAAGATGGAAATAAACCTGAAATTCTCAAGTATCAAATCTACATACGCCCTTGAGAGATATGATATCAACTTTTACATTCTTTATCAAAACTTTTTAAGGGTAAAATAAAATGTGTACAACACATTTGCATGTGAGAAGACATGACATAAACATACATTTTTCATCAAATTTTCCATACACTAAAAACCAAATTCATAATTTGGGTTAACTTTGAAATTTCATTTTAAGCATATCATCCTTATCCAAAGTATCTAGCTGGCCCGAGTCTATTACAACCAAATACATTACCTGTCCAAACCAAGCCCTGCAAAATCTTCAAACCTGTCTTAATCTGACTTTCAGATACTAGTTAGTCCACTGTATGTATACATATCTGCAAAAATTGAACCTGTGTAATCTGCACACCTGTATACACCAGACCTTCAGCTACACACCATTCTATACATTTCCAGGTAAATTAAACCTGTATAATCTGCACACCTGTATACACCAAACCTTCAGCTAAACACCACTCTATAACATGTCCAGGTATATTGAACCTGTGTAATCTGCACACATGTATACACCAGACCTTCAGCTAAATACCACTCTATAACATTTCCAGGTAAATTGAACCTGTGTAACCTGCACACCTTTATACACCAGACCTTCAGCTAAACACCACTCTATAACATTTTCCAGGTAAATTGAACCTATGTAACCTGCACACCTTTATACACCAGACCTTCAGCTAAACACTACTCTATAACATTTTCCAGGTAAATTGAACCTGTGTTATCTGCACACCTGTATACACCAGACCTCCAGCTAAACACCACTCTATAACATTTCCAGGTAAATTGAACCTGTGTAATCTGCACACCTGTATACACCAGACCTTCAGCTAAACACAACTCTATAACATTTCCAGGTAAATTGAACCTATGTAATCTGCACACCTGTATACACCAGACCTTCAGCTACACATCACTCTATAACATTTCCAGGTAAATTGAACCTGTGTAATCTGTACACCTGTATATACCAGATCAGACCAACCTTTATTTTACAAGAATTGTGTAATATGAACAAGAGTAATGGCCCTTATTTTGTTCAGAGAGGTTACACAATGTACATTATTTAAGCATACAACTGCTTTCAGTTGGCATTAATGGGCAATATGCACATGTTGGATTTGCCTTTGTCCAGTTGGAATTCATATTGCTTATGAATGCCAACTGAAAGCAGTTGAATACTTATATTTCCCCTTATTGGAATATGTTCAGCACATAAAAAAATTGATTACACTTATTATTATTCAGTATTTAGTTCATATAATGAATGCATTGTGTATGCTTGTTCAATGAATAGAACAGCCATCGCCCAGGTAGGGTCAGTGGTATCCAACGTTACAATTATGATGACAAAATAATGATGAAGTCAACAATCCGTCCATGGCATTCATAGCCTACATGAATGCCAACTGAATTTGGTAGGGTTATATAATGGCAATGCCATACGATCATAAATATAATAGAGTGACTCACAGGAAGACACACCCTCTCCGCAGATCGCACCATCCTCTCCATGTTTTCCATTGGTCTAAACAGACGTATCTTATCGTCATGTCCACGGTATGACTTCATCCCCTCAAACAGCTGTCAACAGAAAACATGTCTAATACAAGAGATCGAACATGAAATACTATCACTATGCAGGATTTCAAAATTGATAAAATTAACATTTAATTAAATTTAAACACATATAAAACAAATCTTTCCATTTATAATGTATTAAGTTTTCCAACTTATATCAATCACTTTGTTGTTACTGCAGGAGGAAACAAAGTACCAGAAGAAAACCTAAGTGGCTGGGCATGTTACCTAATTCCTTTCCACGTCTGATCTGAGGATTGAACCCCAGTCACCTTCGAGAAAGACAATGCACTATCTACTGCCTCACCCAATCACCGATTTCTTTATCAACCAGAAGACTTTATTGCCATAGATAGACCTATTTCTGTTTATGTGAGTGAATGACTTATTTAAGTATGCAAACTTAATGTAGGAGAAAGTTAAACTGATTTCATCATCTTATTCATATTCAAAGTTTTAATCCATTATAGAAACAACAGGCCCAGAGGGCCTGTATCGCTCACCTGAATATTTAAGCAGTCATAGCAAAATATTCTCATTAAATATTATCCTGTACTACAAATATTTCACTTGCAAACTGTGTCGGCTCCATCTGTTGAAACTACCAGCGAAATATTATTATACGATTCCATCCTTTTTGGTCCTTCTTAAGAAGTTGTTTGACATATTTGACCCCTGTGACCTTATAAGGAGATCTAGGTTATTTTCATTTTCTGTGCTATCACAGGAAGATACCAGGTAAATATTATAAAACTGTGCTCAGAAGAAGTTGTTTAATTGTTGGACATATTTGACCCCTGTGACCTTGTAAGTAGGTCAATATCATTTTCTTTTTTACACTTTGTCAGGCTCTATCACAGGAAGCAACCAGCCAAATATGAAGATTCTATACCTTTCAGTTCTTCACACATTTGATCCCTGAGACATTGAAAGAATGTCAAGGTAGTTTTCATTCTCAAACTTTGTTGGGCTCTATCACAGGAAACCACCAACCAAATATGAAGATTTTATACCTTTTAGTTCTTCAGAAAAAGTCATTTGAAGTTTTTGACACATCTGACCCCTAAGACCTTGAAAGTAGGTCGAATTCATTATCATTCTCAAACTTTGTCAGGCTCTATCCCAGAAAGCCACCAGCCAAATATGAAGATTCTATTCCTTTCAGTTCTTCAGGAGAAGTCAGTTGAATTGTTTGACATATTTGACCGATGTGACCTTGAAAGTAGATCAAAGTCATTTTTATTCTCAAACGTTATCCGGTTCTATCCCAGGAAGCTACCAGCCAAATATGAAGATTCTATACCTTTCATTTCTTCAGAAGAAGTCGTTTGAAGTGTTTGACCCCTGTGACTTTGGAAGTAGGTCAAGGTCATTCTTATTCTCAGTCTTTGTCAGGCTCCTACCAACAAAGCTTTCAGCCTAATATTACAGCTCTAGGCTTGTTCGTTCTTCAGAAGAAGTTGTTTAAAAGAAAAGCTGACGGACACCGGATGGACACCGGACGCCACAGCATGACATAAGCTCACTTCCAGACAGATCAACACATCCCTCATACCAGTGTAACACATAGGTCTGTCTATAGCCAGACAGACATGCCCCTCATACCAGTGTAACACATGCATACATAGGTCTGTCTATAGCCAGGCAGACACATCCCTCATACCAGTGTAACACATGTCTGTCTAAAGCCAGGCAGACAAGCCTCGGAGTCTGATCCCATTATAACTCCTATGGGAACAACCTAAAAATAACTACACTGACAATCTTGGACCTGTATATTCCATCATGAATGAAAATCAATTTCCAGTTTAAGCAATATTCTGACTTGGGATAGGTATGTGTACATGCTGTATTGATCTCTGTAGCTTCTTGATGACTGGCCTGGAGATAGCTGTAGATTAGCAGACATGAGAAATGCACGCTAATTGAGTTTTCAGCCAAATCAAATTATGCAGTGTGTTGCACAGTTTCGTCAATAATGTTCTGGGACCAACAACATTCAGAGTATTGTGATGTTCACGCTGATATGATAAGCATTCTGTGGTAACCTCTGATTCTTAACTCTGTGGCAACTCTTGATCTGTAACACCACGCAGTGACAACCCACCCCTTAAACTTGAACACTTTGCTAAACTTATTTCCTGAACACTTTGTAAGACCTGAAACTTTGTTGTAATCAGTGCCTGATCTTGTGTGGTGACCCCTCATATTGAGGTTGATCCTTTGTGGTAATCCTAACTCTGTGTGATAACCCCTGATCCTGTGTGGCAATCCCTAATTCTGTGTGGTAACCCCTAACTCTGTGTGGTAATCCCTGATCATGTGTGGCGATCCCTAATTCTGTGTGGTAATCTCTGATCATGTGTGGCAATCCCTAATCCTGTGTGGAAACCCTTAATTATGTGTGGTAATTCCTGATACGGTGTGGTAACCCCTAATTCTGTGTGGTAATCCCTGATCATGTGTGGCAATCTCTAATTCTGTGTGGTAATCCCTGATCATGTGTGGCAATCCCTGATCCTGTGTGGTAACCCTTAATTATGTGTGGTAATCCCTCATCCTGTGTGGTAACCCTTAATTATGTGTGGTAACCCCTGATCCTGTGTATCAATCCCTAATCCTGTGTGGTAATCCCTGATCCTGTGTATCAATCCCTGATCCTAATCCTGTGTGGTAACCTTGATTCTGTGTGTTAACCCATGATCCTGTGTGGTAGCCCTGATTCTATATGTTATTCCTAATTCTGTGAGGTAGCCAATATCCTGTGTGGTAATCCCTGATCCTGTGTGGTAGCTATGATCAATTCTGTGTGGTAATCCTAATTCTGTGAGGTAACTCCTGATGATGTGTGGTAACCCTAATTCTGTGAGATAACTCCTGATCCTGTGAGGTAACCCAGATCCTGTGTGGTAATCCCTGATCCTGTGATTCTGTGTGGTAACCCTGATTCGGTGAGGTAACCCCTGGTTTGGAGAGGTAACCCCTGACCCTCTGTGGTAAACCTGATTCGGTGTGGTAACCCTAGTTCTGTATGGTAACCTTGATTCTTTGTGGTAATCCCTATCTTTGGTGACCCCTAGCTTGATATTGATGCTGAACTCTATGGTATTCAATTGGTAAACCCTGTTTTCAATCCTGATTCTCATATCCAGAACTCTAACCCATTCACCCCTAGGTAACTTGAGTAGACTCTGCCATACATTCATCTGGATAAGTCTATTATGGTCTACAGTGGTGAAAGGGTTAAGGTAATTTAAAGCTCTGATCCTGAACTTGATGATAAATTTATATTCCTGAATTCTACAGTAACTCTGATCTTCAACCTTTGAGTGATTTGCAAATAATTTTTTGCTGAAAGATGTGTCTCAAAACATGTTGCCAAATAAGGGCTATAAACACGTACCTCCACAGCATAGTGGAAAACTTTGGCAGCCGGGTGGATGCTGAGGTTCTGTACTGGGTTGATGTGTGGTTTTCCCCATCCTTTGTCATTATCCCATTCCACAGTCAGCATATGGTCACTGTGGTGTCTACCAAACACCAGTTTGTCCACATCAGGCTTGGGCTGCGGGTTTGTGGAAAGCTTAATCTGCAGATCTTCATACTAGTAAATGTAAAACATTATATTGGTATTTTTCAAAAGGAAAAAAATATATTCCAACAACAATCAGTAATGACACAGTGCATTTTTATACTAGAAAGGGAAAACTTGATGAAAAAGGAGCACAAGAATGTCTTAGCGATGGGTCAGAGGCCACGGCCAGAGCACATTTGTTATTAGTTTAATACAGTTAACATGTGTAACATGTTTGGTAACAGTTTGTTGGTGATTTTATATCATACATGGATTAATTTTAAGTCAGCATTTAAAGACTTCACACTGTCTGTCGTTCAGGGAATGTTATAATATAATTCATAAGGAAGGAATTTTAAAAGCTCTGAACCAAATGATTTTCTATACAGCATTATGTAAAACAGCTCGGAATTTACATGCACCTTCTAAAAGGGCTTACAGGTAAATGTATACAATACTAAATGCACACCAAGGGGGAAATGCTACATTTACATCACTGCATAATATAGCATGTTGCAATGAATTCATTTTATAAACAATTTTTTATGCTTTTATAATTATGGTAATATTTTTAAGTAGATTATTTTGTAAATACAAATGTTGATACAGTACAGTGGAATATGTATTAAGCGACAACCCAAGGGAAATTAATCAAGAGGCCCAATGGGCCTGCATCGCTCACCTGGTATTAATCTCACAATTGTAACTTTAAAGAGGACTAAAATAAAGTCCAAATATCATCACCCTGGACCTTTTGGCAATTCAGAAGAAGTTGTTTAAAGGTTTTCAAGACATTTGACCCCTGTGACCTTGAATATGAATGAAGGTCATTCATGACAGCAAATTTGGTAGCCCTTAATGCCAACATGCTTCTGGCCAAATATCATCACCCTGGACTTTTTTGGTCATACAGAAGAAATCGTTAAAAGGTTTTTTAAGACAATTAAGCCCTGTGACCTTGACTATGTCTGAAGGTCATTCATTTGAACAAATTTGGTAGCCCTTCATGCCAACATCCTTCTGGCCCTTTATCCAAGCATGCTCCTGGATAAATATCAACACCCTAGGCCATTTGATCCCCGGCCTGTGACCTTGAAAATGGGCAAAGGTCATTCATTTGAACAAACTTAGTAGCCCTTCAGCCCAACATCCTTCTGACCAAATAACATCACCCTGGATCTTTCTGTTTTACAAAAGAATTGTTTATAGGCTTTTAAGACAATTGACCCCTGTGACCTTGAATATAGGCAAAGGTCATTAAATTGAACAAACTTGTTGGCCCTTATTGCCAACATCCTTTTGGCCAAATATCATCACCCTGAAACTTTTGGTTATTCAGAAGTTGTTAAAAGGTTTTAAAGACAATTGAGCCCTGTGACCTTGAATATGGATGAAGGTCATTCATTTAAACAAACTTGGTAGCCCTTCATCCCTGCATGCTACTGACCAAATAGCATCCGCGGAATCTTTTGGTTATTCATCAGCAGTTGTTTCAACATTTCAACATATTTGACCCCTGTGACCTTGAATATGGGTGAAGGTCATTCATTTGAATATACTTGATAGTACTTCATCCCATCATGTTATTGACCAAATATCATCATCCTGGGCCTTCTGGTTAATCAGAAGTTGTTAAAGGTTTTTAAGACAATTAAGCCACGTGACCTTGAATATCGGTGAAGGTCATTCATTTGAACAAACTTGGTAGCCCTTTATCCCTGCATGCTACTGACCAAATATAATCACCCTAAAGCGTGTGGTTATTCATCAGAAGTTGTTTAAATATTTCAACAAATTTGACCCCTGTGACCTTGAATATGGGCGATGGTCATTCATTTGAACAAACTTTTTCACCCTTTTACCAAGCATGCTACTGGCCAATTATCATCACCCTGTACATTTTGGTTATACAGAAGAAGTTGTTTAAAGGATTTTAAGACAATTGAGCCCTGTGACCTTGAATATGGGCGAAGGTCATTCATTTGAACATCCTTGATAGTGCTTCATCCCAGCATGTTATTGACCAAATATCATCATTCTGGGCCTTCTGATTTTTCAGAAGAAGTTGTTTAAAGATTTTAACATATTTGACCCCTGTAACTTTGAAAATGAGCAAAGGTCATTCATTTGAACAAACTTGGTAGTCCTTCAACCCAGCATGCTACTGGCCAAATATAATCAGCCTGGGTCTCTTGATTATTGAGAAGAAGTTGTTTAAAGTAAAAAGTTGACGACGGACGGACGACGCACCATGGCATAACCTCAATTGGCCCACCAAAAGCCAGTCGTTTAATAAAAGTGGTCGTTTAATAAAGTTTGACCATATTTTGTACAGAATTACACAACCGACTATAACCTAAGGACTCCTTTATAATATTCAGACGACAACTGTAAACAGACCAACACCCCAAGCGCACATTTACACATGTATGTAAAGATAGTTTAAAACAACATCATTCAGCAGATCAGGTGAATAACTAAACAATAGTCGAGTGATAATTATGAAAGTAAACAAAAAACTAAGAGTGTTTGAGAAGAATTGTCATTTCACTCCGGACAAACAATCCATGGAGGCTTGTTGAAGTTCTAACTTACACGACTGTGTTTCGGTAATTACCATAATTTGAGCTAACTTGTTACGAAAGATATTGCTGTTGAAATGATAGAGGTTCCTGTGTTGGTCCAACAGATGTGTTCACATAAATTGTTCCTTTATTTTACGATGGATACTGGAAAGAGAATCCAGTTTAAAAATTATTGTATAAGAATGTTTTACCTGTATCATATCGGAGTTCCATGTAGATGTTACATACCTGTATATTTACATACAGGTGACAAGTCTAGCACAGACACAACTAAAGAGTAATTCACTATCATTAAACACAATCAAACACAGACCTTTGCTTAATATTTATAACCACTGGACAACCTATCACCCCTGAAATTTCATAATGAACTATTCCAACCTTTGAATTGGAAGAGTTTAAATGTGTCTTCAGGGGTGAATGAGTTAAGTAAAACTTATGATGCTTGCACTTGACTTACTTTGAAGGATGGTCCAGACACAAAAGAGCTTGTCTGTGAGGCAAGTCCTGGTCTAAAGATCTGTAGGAGATTACGAATACCAACGCAGGGCTGAAAAAAAGGCAAATGTATACTAGAACAAATTATATTACAAAAAACAAGCTTATTTAACACTATATAATAAAATAACTGTAGCTGACAAGTACTGGATGAAGGTATCAAAACACTGCTCTGGTCAAGTTCAGTAAGAACTCTGTCGTCACTTCCCTTAATTTTAGAACCACCATGGAAACTGGCTTAAAATAAAAAAAAATAAAAAAACCTTCTTGGATCTGACCAGCTACTTCAGGTTGGGAAAAATCAACAGTTATGTTTCAACGTATCTAACAAAACTTAAAAATTACTTTCCACAAGCTACAAAATGCAAAAAGAATTACCCGAGAATCTCCGTGTAAATGTACAGCGTCTTATGTCATAAATGAAGTTTATAATCTCTGTTATTTTTTTCCAATCACATTTGCTGACAAAAACAATTTTAAAATGATCTTTCTGGTGCTTAAATCCGATTAATGAAAAGATCGAATTTAAGCATTCCCCGTAACATGTAGGGAAGGAACCAAAGAATCTCCCCCCTGGACATATGGGTATACCAAGAACTTATCTGAGCATACATATTTTTGTCCGACAAGTAAAACAGAAAATTTCAGCAGTAAATTACAGTTTTACTGACTTAGATAATGAGAGCCTTTACCTCATGCCAGGGCTATTCCGTCTTTTCGTATTGCCGAGTTATCTGCTCTTGTGAGCAGGTTTCGATTGTTACGTCATTTGTTTGTGGGAATAACGTCATCAATTTTTACCAAGAGAAGATGACGTAATTTTCTCACACAAACCAATGACGTAACAATCAATACCTGCTCCCAAGAGATGATAACTCTGCAATACGCAAAGACGGTATATCATACTGACCAGATCTGGATGATCTATAAATTAAACATGATGATTACAATTTTGTACTTCTATAGGGCTTTTATATTTATAACGTAAGTCATTTGAAACTCTTATTATATAATTTAGCTTTGTTATTATCAGGTAAAAAGACACATTTTGCCACAAAATTTAACCATTAGTGTATATGACAGTGGTCGAAAATGATAGGGAGTGATATTGATACGGCCAGTTCGACAGCTTAGAAAATGATAGGGAGTGATATTGATATGGCCAGTCCGACAGCTCAGAAAATGATAGGGAGTGATATTGATAAGGCCAGTCCGACAGCTCAGAAAATGATTGGGAGTGATATTGATACGGCCAGTCAGACAGCTCAGAAAATGATAGGGAGTGATATTGATACGGCCAGTGTGTCAGCTCAGAAAATGATAGGGAGTGATATTGATACGGCCAGTCTGTCAGCTCAGAAAATGATAGGGATTGATATTGATACGGTCAGTTCGACAGCTCAGAAAATGATAGGAGTGATATTGATACGGCCAGTCCGACAGCTCAGAAAATGATAGGGAATGATATTGATACGGCCAGTCCGACAGCTCAGAAAATGATAGGGAGTGATATTGATATGGCCAGTTCAACAGCTCAGAAAATGATAGGGAGTGATATTCACAGATATGTCCAGTCCGACAGCTCAGAAAATGTTAGGGAGTGATATTGATATGGCCAGTCCGACAGGTCAGATGGATCCCGTGAGTTAGGTTAATAATAATAATAATAATAATAATAAACTTTATTTATTGAGGATACAAAACCTGTTTAGCAAAGCTAATCTTCCACAGGGTCCTCTGTTAGTAAAATTGGTTAGTTAAAAGACAAAGTAGTATCACAGCAAATAAATGTACATAAAATAATTGTTGGTCTACTAAAACAGCAATTCATATCACAGTTATTTCATAATTTAAACGGTCGTTCAATACAATTACAATAAAATTATCACAGAAGCACGAAATATATTCCGTGCTTAACCCATTATGGTTTTCATTAAAAGACAAATTGTCTAATTTACATATATGCTAATGTAGCAAAAGCTAAAAATTGACAGAATACACGCTAACATAGCGAAAATAAAACAAATCAAAGCTGCATCTAAAAAGTATAATAGTAAAAATAAAAGACATTCTTAATGTTACCAATCATATTTTGTTTGAATTTTGTCAAGGAGGAAGAGAGTCGTACTTCAACCGGTAAATTATTCAAAATCTGGCTCCCTTATGTACCAAAAAGTGTTTGGAATAAAATGTGGTACGGTGTTTGGGTACCTTGACAGAGTTTTGGGATGCTGATCTAGTATATCTGTTGTTAGACAAATTAAATTGATTAGAAAGATATCCTGGAACTAGATTATTTACACATTTGTACACCATAACACCTCTTTTGAATTTCAAATATTCGCCAATTGGTAACCACCCTAATGAAGAAAACATTTCTACTGATGGTGTATCAAATGGAGCATCCAACAGTAATCTTGCAGCTTGTTTCTGCGCTTTTGACAGTTTTTGTAGAAGATTTAAAGAGCATCCGCTCCATACTGTGCTACTGTACATGAAGTGGGGAAAAATACATGCATGAACAAATTTAAGTCTAGCTGAAAGTGGTAAATATTGACGGATGCGTCGAAGTAAACCCAAACCACTGTTAATCTTTGAAACAACAGATGCTATGTGATCTAACCAAGATAAACTGTTGTCAATTTTTACACCAAGAAGTTTTTCACTCTTTACTTGTTCAATACATTCCTGATCTACGTTGATGGTTGCTGTAGATCGATCTAGACCTGGGATCACTGGGATTGATCACAGGCACCTGCATCTGTTACCGTATAACATGAAATGTTTGTTGTGTACAAACATTCGTGGTTTTCATGGTTGCTATTGAACCACGATTAATACAACGAATTTGAATGATATACGTGTCTACTGTTTGTTAATATAGGATATCCACGAAAGTTTGAACCACGAAACGATCCAAATGGTTCCAAACCACAAACGAAAGTACATACAAACATTTCGTGTTATAGCCAATAGTTTCCCCCTTAGTTACTAATACAGAGAGGGGGGAAAGAATCAGCGAGCTAATAGTTTCCCCCTGGTTACTGATACAGAGATGGGGAAGTATGTAGATATGTGAAAATAGGAAATGGTCTTCCCTTACCCTTCTATATTGACTTTATGCATATGAACATATTTAAGCGGTATTCTAATTCTAGTGCTTTTCAAATTTTTGATATTGTGCTAAATTATTAATGCCCTAATAAAAAAAAAATGTTAATAGTTCCTGTTGCATATATAGTGAATGTTCCTATTGATCAATGCGCTAATATAATCAGTCAAAATTCTATAACATGCTAAATTTTGATCCTGCCTACTTTATGTATATGAAAATCGTAGCAGTGTTCAAGCTAGCAAGGAATATTACAGGGCGTTGCGCCTAGCCCTCAATTTTTTAAGTTGCACAGAGCATTGTCCTTTTTATTGGCGCCCTGCGGTGCCCCTTTTATTGACGCCCAGCCCCTTTTATTGACGCCCTGCCTGTTTTGTATGGTAGGGTAGGGAAGACTATTTCATATTTTCACATATATTCACATACCAGATGCAGATGCCTGTGTGTTGATAAAGTATTTATAATTCTCCTGTTGGTCATGAGGACAGCAGGATGTATACATGAGATGACCATCATAAGTGTCTCGGTCATCCCAGCAGATCACTAGATATGACCTATATAAAGGCTGACCATGTCAGGCCACTACAATTAAGTGAAGTCATATTTTACAACTGTCATATTAGTTTCTTGTAGTTTCAGGCAAGACAGACTTAAAACATCGTATAGGGCCAAACAAGTCGATCAAGTCTTTCATTGTGAGTTCATGTCAGTAATTATGGAAACTGTTTGTTGTTAATTACAATGAGGTAGCCAGACCATATACCATAAAACTTATAACCTAGTGTTGTATATGAATACTATATATCTGAAGTGTATTAATAGGAGAATTGGACATTTATACATCCAAACTGTTGTATCTCATTAAAGACTGAACTTGATATGTACATTGTGCTATTAAATAATTACCAAATTACCATATTTCTGACTAGCAATTGTGATTTCAGGCCTTTGTTATAGTTCCTAAGGCGATGATATATAGAAGGCCCCATTCCCTATGGGTAATGGGCATGAATTTTTCTATTTCTAAAAAAAATCTCAATAAGATAGTTCATGTTTTGGAATATTTTCTTTTTTAGTTTAAATGTTTTTTCAGTAAATAGATAAAGTTATATCTTGAAGAAAACATTACTTCAAATTGAAATATTGTACTAAATTAATAAGTTGCTGTATAAAGATAATGTAGAATATGTTTTTGAACATTTATATCTTTGTTTGTTGATAAAATTTCCCATCTTACATAGAAAAAGCCCTGGTTTAATGTATTAAGTTTTGTTGATTTATATATTGTTACTGGACAAGTACATTAACTCATTTACCCCCGAAATCACATTTGAACCCTTCCAATTTAAAGGTCGGAATAGTTCATTCTGAAACTTCAGGGGTGAATGAGTTAATGCCAGGTATCTCGGTTAATACTTACACCTATATCCAGCATTTAAGGTCAATGTCTTCACAACCTCAGACCCACATGTGTTGGTAATGTCATTCACATCCAAGACAATAGAATACACCACACAATGTGTATATAATACACAATTGTATCTGGCATACAGGCTTTTTTTTGTCTTTAGGATTTCAAGTGTCAAATATCACATGTTGTAAAAGATCAATCATTTTAAAAGTCACTGTGACAGCTGACTGTCACGAGAATTTTAATTCTGTTGATGAGATTAAAATGTGCATGACTTGAAATTTGCACAATGTGAATGCATATATGTGTCAGGCCATGATCACATGTATATATATAAAAACCTTGTTTTATTTGAACTAAATAAATCTTAACCTCCTTGTTTGAAGAATAATGACCTATATATATATATATGCCTGGTACTGGTGAGGTAAACATACAATAGAAAGATAAACAACGGTTTGAAAGGTTTAACAATTTGGCATAAACATGTATGACTATGTCAGTCTACATATATATACTACTGTCTGTTCACCAAAAGTACCTGCTGGATTAATTCTACCTGTAAATATGATGACCAAAGCTCTGCTGTGAATTACTTAGCTATGTCAGCAATAAAAACTATAAAATGCTTGTAAAACATGGATGTCTTGCACTTTGACACAGCTGATGGCAAACAATGAAGTTGGTGCTCTGACCATTAATTCTATATGAGAGTATAGACCCTTATCAAATACCTATATCGTATTTATCAATGTCAACAGTCAGTTGTTGAACTGTTTAAGGGAAGACTGCTCATGTGACGAACCTCTCATGTATAATTTCACCAACTTTATGTTAACTAAACCATGTACTTATAACTAAAAACAAAGCAATCTTGTAAAATTTATCAATAACTATGTTTCTTTATCACAAACCTATGTTGCAATATCTTAAGTGCATGCTTATAAATATGATTTTACTTACTGAACAACTGACTGAACAACTGATTAATGTTAATTCCTTACTGAGTACATTAACACTTGGCAGGTTGCCAATCCAAACTCCTTACATTACAATACGTGGTGGTGCGTAATTCCACTAATCTCCGTTACAAAATCATGGCGGTACCTGTATGTGTATGTTCGCCTAATCTGTTCCAAAGCATTTGTATTTTGTACCATTATACCAGGTAGTTTTATCATGTACACAGTACTAGTACAGCCACAGCATTACACTGGTACATGTATATATTAATATGACAATACTGTACAACCTCCATTATCAGATCTGCCTTAAAACTAGAACTAGAAGAACTGTCGCATATATATGGGCTAAACAGTTAATAGGTACCTTTGCAGTGTTTCAACTAGGATTTTAAAAGGGCAAGGCACTGAATCAAAAAATAAACTAAAACATCTCACTTTTAATTTCCAGAAGCTGAACATAAAATGATACTAGTTCTTATCTATTGTCAATTAATCTCTTTAAATAAGCCAAATTTGTGCTTGCCGCTGATTAGCGTAGCAGAAACGTGGCAATTTTTTTAGAAACCCACAGGTGGAGGTGAAAAAAAGGAGACGGAAACTGACATCAAAATAAGGAATTGATTGATGTGTCAACAGAGATATAAGATTGTGGAGGTATATACTAATTCCTGTAGGAACTCTATCTGAATCAGAGATTTATAACGATAGAGTTTCTATCGTTATAAATCTCTGATTTAGATCGAGTTCCTACAGGAATTAGAGGTATACCTGCAGTTACTCAAAAAGACTCAATTAGAGCTAAATTACATAAGATATGAGGTTTCTGGGGCAGGACATGTTTAGATCTATGACTTTTCCTGCAATTTGAGATTTATCTACTTTTGTTGGAAACATCTTTTCATATGCCATCCTGCATGTTTGAGGAATAAATGGCCTTTCACATCCGAATGCATGATCTAATCATTGAATTTTGTGACCTCTTGTTTTCTCGTATTATCTACAATGTAACTCAAACATTTCTGAATTCTTTGGTTTTGAAAGGTTTTCCTGTATACCTGGAAATGTTTTAATGACTATACTGTACAGTACATAAAATAATTAAATTTATCTAAAATCCATGTCACTGTCAAGGATTGTCAAAAAAGGAAAAAATCATGATTTTAATTTCTGCAATAGCAAAAAAATGCCCTTATATTTTATAGAAAAAGATCAATCATGCAAGGGAAACAAGAAAAATAATGTAATACATTGTATGTGTGGAACTCGAGGTTTATTTTCCTAAAATTTTAATGCAAACATCAGCATAAAACAATACTTGCAATATAAAAAATCTAATCTTAACCCATAGGGCAATGGATAAAATCTTAAAAGATGACTTTTTTCTTCCAATCAGTGATCACATGAATCTGCTGGATGCATGTATGTATAGCTGAGCCGTTGTATGTATAAACTTAACTGATTTTTTGTATTCAGATATGATAATCAATCCTTTACCGTTATAATGGACTCTTGTCTTAATTAACAAACAATTAAAAAAAAAAAGAGAAATAGAAAATTATAAATGGAAACAAATAATCGCAAAATCAATGTCATTAAGTATGTTTCGTGAAATGATAACATATCTAAAGACAGTAAAGTTTCTATTTAAATATAATTCAGAGTCTCATGGTTAATACAATTTAATTGGTTTTAGGAATCATACCACTGATAACATATCAATAGTTTTCTGTCGACAACCCGAAGGTCACGGTAAGGGCTTCGATTGGTAGCAGTGGAAAAAACTTCGATTTCTTTTTACTGGTTAGCGACAAAAGTCAAAAATGCACTAGAGTGAATTAATATAACGATAGTGAGTTAAATTAATATAATTACATCAAACTTTAAGATCAGATTTCAAAGTCAAATGGTAATTTATTCTAAACAAACCACATGTCTAACACGGAGCTTTCATGTCGTGTGTGTAGCGAGATAAATAGGAAACTACAACAAAATAATCACAAACAAGGAGCTTGCAAAAAGTATATACAGACATTTGATAGTTGAACTACATCAACATCCACTTATGGTTCCACTGTCATTTAATAGAATCTTGTTTGTTTACACCTACCTTGCGGATACATATCGCCATGTTTTCTGATCGCGGAGAAGTTAATCAAGGCAGACAACTCTTGACGTCAAAGACTATATTGTAGATTATTTGTTTGGTTCATGGCCATGGTTGTGTGAAGCATTTTGCAGTCAATCAATATAGATAAGGTTTTGGTTGGCGCTCGACAAAGATGCAAACGTTTTGTATATACTTATTATGTTTCAGCCTTTAGGTCACAAAGAAAATTATGAATTATTAGTTTTATTAAATCATCACAATGAATAAAATAATAATAAAAAAAAAAAACAGTCATTATTAATCGATACTATGGTGAATAAAGACACAACAGAGCTGAGAGAACCTTAAACATACTATAGGCCCTTATGTTTATTAATGTCTTTTTTTTTCTTTCTTGATGAAATAATACACAAAATTTACACAAGACAGCTGAGTCATTAAAAGGTGTGTAATTAAGCCCTGATGTATAAGATCAGCTTGAAGAGGCTTTATTTACCAATAAGGGGACTTTTCAGTCATTGACATCAGATTGAGACAAACATTATTTATGATTTAATATAACAAAAGAAATATGTATAACAACAAGGTTATCACATTACTTGTTTTAACAGTTTTATATTCCTGATAAATTTAAACAAATTAATCTATTCTGAACTGAACATCAGTATCAAAGTATACATTAAACCTTAGTTCTTTATTAATATACATTAAAAGTGGTACTCCAGTAGATCTAGATCTACTATCGGTTTACAAAAAAAAAGCAAAATTGAGTAAAAAGTTTTTTAAGGGAAAACAAATTTTGGAGTAAAAATGCTGGGGGGGGGGATTAAGGAAACCATGGAAATCCCCCTGGATCCGCCACTGCATTTATTGCCCTTATGGCAGGGAAACGTCTCTTTGTTTCCATGCAATTCCTTGGTCTGCACTGATGTTATCACTTTTTAATTCTTTGCTTCTATTCAGTCTTTGCATATTGCAGAGTTATCTTCTCTTGTGAGCAGGTATTGATTGTTACATCATTGGTTTGTGTGAGAAAATTACGTCGTTTTCGCAAAAATTTATGATGTTACTCCCACAAACAAATGAAGTAACAATCTATACCTGCTCACAAGAGAAGATAACTCTGCAATACGCAAAGACGGAATAATATAATACAAGATATGGATATACAGAGAGGCATAATACATATTCACATGCATTGCCTCCCCTATCAAATCCTATCAATTGTGGTCAACATTATCCAATCAAAGACACACTTTTGTATTGATGAGGCATCATAACATATTTTTTCTGGGATGTATATAAAGTGGATACATAACTTTTCGCTCACTATGACAATGTGCTATGTATAATAACAGTGTCGTCGGCTGTATTAAAACAGTACATGTCACTGCCAAATATTATAAATAAACTAGGTGGTCATTAAGTTATTTTCATAAAAAAAACCCGTCTGCCTAAGTATTTGTCTTTAAGAATTATTTCTTGGCAATTTAAAATGAAATGAAGAAATGATATGAGAAAAGTGAGATCTGTATAATTTAGCTATTTGTCCCGAGGAAGTGACTGATGGCCTTCAGTTCCTACAAAACTAGCTGCATGCAATTTTTTTAACATTTCTGAAAACAAATATAAATTAAAACCTGAAGTCTTTTTTCCCCTTAATCTTATTTCTATTAAATAAAACAAAATAAATAATTCAAACCGAATGCAAAATATTCTTGGCATTTTAAGTAATCTTAACCCTTTCACCCCTTTGTAACTTTAGTGGACTCTGCCATGCATTAATCTGGATGAGTTCTAATTGATGTTCTGCCAATGGCACCTTATGCTATTGATTCTATCAGGAAAGTATTGGTTAAAGGGAGACAACTGTTATTAAAAAAATGTGACCCTTATGTCAGTAATTACATGTAAATACATCGTATATATTCGCTGAAATTGCTCAACAATTTCAGCAGGCAGTTCGTTTGTTTTCCTAAGTACATATTGTGAGTATAAATGTGTTGACTTATAGGTTAATTAAGAGCCACATAAACAATATTATGTACATACAAATAAGGGTTCAAAGTCCGTTGTCTGTAAGGAATATGAACATGAAATTCTCTACGCTACACCCAGCACGTAGCCTCTGCCTACCTGTGAGCTACACAGACTCCTGATGCTAAAGGCTGTTGTTCAACCTTCAAATCCTTGGAATCCAACAATTTCACAAAATCCAACAGTTCTTTTAAATCTTAGCTCACTCAACAAAACCGAGCTCGGTTCAGCTGGTATCTGATAAGGTGGTTGACCTATATAATCCGAGCACGCGACGTGAGCATGCACTCTAAACATTCTACTTTCATTTTCGTAGCCTTGACATTTTCATAGTGACTTGTATTTGTAGAGGATGGTGTAAGCTTTCATCGGGGGAACTTTATATACTTTATTCCCCAAATTGGTACATGCAACTGTGAACTAAACCATACACAGCCTAGCTATAGCTATGTATAGCCTTAGACTAACTGATGTGTTGCTGACATTTTCAAACTTACGCCTTAATTGCGTTCCAAAGTCCATGAACATGCAACGATACTGGTGTCATTTTGACGCTTTTCGTCCCGCCTCGCATAACACGAGATCTTCATAAGAAGCAAGTATTTTGGTGACGTTAGGCTGTTCAAAAATAAATGTCCAGTTTATAAATTGAGGTTTCATGAAGATAATTTGTTCAAAGCAGTCATTTCTTTTATTATTATAGTAATACAATGTATTCATAGGCATTCTTTAATATCTATTATTGCTTATTCATTATATTTTTTACATAACAATGATTTTTATTTGTTGTTTTCTTCTTCATCAATAAATATTTTCATATCATTAGTATATTGACTTGGTTTTGTTTTTGTCCTTATTGTTTTCACGCCTCCGCACGTGTACAGATGACGTCATGTATCCCAATTGAGATAGATATAGAAAAGGATTAACAGGAATTTTTTTTCATAAAAATGTCTATATGTATAATCAACCTCTGGCGTCAATGTCAATAGTTTCACATGCATAGTAATACAGAATATCTCTATGGAGATTAACAATTTGGCCCGGGGGAATTCTTTACTTGACGTTTGAAGGGAGAAACTGAAATAATTGGAAAGATACAGATTTGCTTTACTAAGATTTAAAAGGGATGTTCTCTCTTCAACTATTTCTATTTCAGAAAATAAAATCAAAGTTGAACAATGATATCTAATATCCGGTAGTAGACTTCAAAGTTTCACATTGTTACCTAGGTAACACAGCCTATTTATTTCAATGTTTTCGAAAAAAGATATACAAGCTAATCACTCTTCTGTTGTATAACAGTCGTTCCAAATACCGATCTTCGATATGGACATAGACCCAAACACTATAAACAACGTTTTATCCCTGGTCTAGACGGTAACCATTGCACCAATTTCTTACCGCTTTGATATAGCGGTGCTCGGCCAAAGCGTGTTGATATGCACCGAAAAATCGACTCTCTGAAAACCGCGATACTTTGTCGAAGGAATGTCGGTTTATTTTTTATTTTATTCAAGTATGTATCAATTACTGTTTTCCTATAGTAATTATATTAAAGTCGGTTTATCAAATACAATTTCTGTCTTGTAAGCAGTTCTTTTAGCATATGATGAATCAAAATAAAAGAATTTTCCTGGTCTCTCTCTTATTTTGATTTTGATTAGCATTGGCTAATCAAATTAATTAGAAATTCAATAATTTCCTTTTATTTTCAACGATGCCAAATCCATTAGTGAATAATTTCTTAGTAAACTTGATTAAGTACCTTATTTGAATTTCTTTGGAAGATTAAGATTGATAAAATGAAGTCAGATGTTGTTGTGAAAAGTTACATGGAGGGAGGTCATTTATAAATTCACTTTACCTGGATAAGGACTGGTTACTACAAAAACAAGGAAAATGGCAGGAAATACTTAAAACATATATAAATATTGATATTCTCTTCAACTGTGGTAATATATGTATATATATATCTGTCAAAATAAAAGTAAACACTTATTTTGGAAAGATGTTTTTAAGGCCTGGAATAGATTGAATACAAAGAGAAACTATTATTTTTTTAAATCACCATTATGGTTATATTACTCAAATTTTACTTTGGTAAAAAGAGACATATTTTATCAGGATTGGTACAGTTGCTTAATTACTTTAGTTGATGATCTGATGAAAGATGGAGGTACACAAACATTTTATACTCAGGATGAATTTAATAATAAATATAACGTAGATACTTGTTTACTTATCGCAGTATTATGGTATTATACAGCATCAGCAATAAGAAGATATATTACACAAAACAATATTAATCACCACACAAACATTGGCATGTTTTACCCTATTTTACCTTTAAATCTGGAGGTTTTTTACAGACATAAAAAGGGGACTAAAGGTATTTACACAAAACTTACAAAAAAATAGATTTTTCCAACAGGTAGAAGAAAATGGGGAGAACAATTTGATATTAATGATGACAAATGAAGAAAATATATCAGATTCCTTTTTGCGTAATACTAATCTTCAGTGGTTGCAAGCTAGAATTATACGTTATATTTTAACTACAAATGTTTACTTATACAATGTATAGGAACGGGGCAAATTACAAACACTTTTATTTCAAAAACATACAAAGGCACTGTCTTATCACAAATGTCACAAACTAGAACTGTCGCCTATGGGCTAACTAATACCCATCGCATTCTGGTTGCTTGAACAAGGGGAAAATATAAAGAAAGAGCAAGGGTCATGGAAAGTCGAACCTCAGATGACGTACCTACAAACTGATGGTAAAGACAAACACCACTACTGTGACCTTTGACTCAATGACCTCGGAATTTTGTCACAATCTAGCTTGCATCAATACTATATATACTTCATCCTTCTTTTTTCTCTCTCTTCCCTCTCATTTTTCTCTACTCTTTAATCTTCTTCTAAATCAGTACATATCACTCAATATCCTGGTTTTCAACATGTAAACATAATTATAAACTGTTCTGTTTTTGGTCTCAAAATTGATTGTTAACATATATTTTATCAATCACACCAAGTGATGAAG